GAACAGAAGAGTGCTTCAAAGACGAAGGTAGAAAAAGGTGAGGTGAGTACTGTGGAAGTAGTCGAATATGACATACAATGGGGTAAGGGTAGTTTGAAGTGAGAAGTCAACTGCCAGTTAATAGACTTTTTTGCCGTATGAATATACATTGCCCAGGGTGCACCACGTGGAGGTAAGTCTATCGCACACCCCTCGTTTGACAGTATAAAATCCGTTTATTCACGTCACCTCTACATAACAACCAGCTTTCTCGATTAGATAAGTAATCAAATTAGTAATTTGCTGGAATGACAATTTAAGCAAGTTAATTTCATAAATTTATTGTATTCAATGCAAAAATAGTTGTTAAAGATTTAAATGTAAAGTGTTAAGTATCACTAGATACAATATACTATGTGTTTAGAATTAAACATTAAACAAAAGAAACTATCCCTTTATAAATAAACTACGTAGCTATTATAGATTTCTTGCAGCATCACATTCATAAAATATGAAATCAACTTTGAAGGTGTTTGCGAATGGACTACATACCGCCGAATTAAAAATTCTTCTTGCGACTGTATTAGCTTTTCATTATGCAGGGATAGTAAATGAAAATATCGAAATAGTACGTACTATATAAATCCAGTGTAATTATTCTATATTACTGTTTGTAATGGCTCAGGCGATATATTTTATTAATTATTTGGAACTTGACAATTCAAGTGTTTCGCTCTAATTTGAACTGAAAGCTGTCTTTTGTAGTAATAGTAACTGTCTATCGAGATTTTGACGTATCTCAAACAATAAATTCATTATACAATATTTTCGTGGGCCCCCGCGTCCAATTAACTGGAAGAGTGATGCATCAATGGGCTTTGCTAGTACCTCTTATTGATCAAACGAAATTGGGCTAAAGGGAATCCGATCCCCATTTACCTCCACTGACCAATAAGAAAATGCTGAATTAGGGCTTTAAATAATAATAGGTTAAGCACTAAATAATACAAGGAAATGATAACTTCATAAATGAAAAATAATAGTAATATTCCTTTTATGGTAATGATTATCAAAAAATTTGTTTAGAGTGAATATTAAACGATTAAGAAGTGTCATATATCAATTAAAAGTGTTAAAAACAAAAAACCAAAAGACATCACTATTCCCAGCATTCGAAACACTTCTAGCACGTCTCAACATGTCTTTTTATTATTTGCCACATCTTAAATGTACGATGTTTGAAGTATTAAGTCATTAACCAGATTTGAAATTTCAGATTTAATGCTTTACATTCGGATAACAAATGCTAAATGAATTTAGTTTGAAATGCAAAATTTTAATTTTTTGAATTTTACAAAAAAACCACACTTATTGTTTTTGATCAAGCTATTTTTGAGATCTTGTCTATTGGCAACAACGTACTGTTGTTTTTGTGAGCCAAATAAGGCGTGTGCTCCTCAAATATCTTGTCAACTCTCAAGTTATCGGAATGGACTCACCTCGAGCTTATGATCTGTGAGTAACTTCTATCTGCACTTACCTTTTAGATTCATTGTACCTGATCAATACATAATTTCCAATGTAAGCTCAACTACTAAGGAACGTCCAATAGTGATTGATCGTGTAACGGGCGCAGTTTCTCTCTCAGGTAAACGTATTTAAGAAATTAATTTTTTAAGACCATCCAATGTCTCACTACGAAACTCTGATGCCAAGGGCAAGCAAAATATATGGAATCCTTGGCACGATACAACTTCTCTCCGGTCGATTTTTGATGACCATCGATCAGTGTGTATTGATAGGGAACCTTTTTGGTCACCAAATCTTCAAAGTGAAGAGAGCATCTATTCATCCATTCGCGAAGTCCAATAATCACCTCAACGCAGTAGAAGTATCTCAAATTCAATTAGTGTAATAGCATATCTATTTTAGATGGAAGCTGAAACGGCCTACTTGAATATGCTTACCTTCATGTTAAATATGGATGGCATGTACTTCTCAAGTACATATGATTTAACTGTATCCCAGCAACGTCTGTCAGAATTTGGCCCGGAATACAGACACATGAATCTCTATGAACGGGTAGGTTTATGATTTGCTTCTGTTCAAAACGTATCTAAACGCGTGTGTATTTTTTGTATTATTCCAGTCATATTGCTTATTTTATTTATTTTAGTATATGTTAGAGTTAAATTTAATGCTTATAGGTTATTTTTAATTTATTGTCAACGAAGATATGCAGTGGCTAATTTTATGTAGCCCTCTGAGTGATCTCTTCTCGTTTTCCCAATTTTCAGAGCTAGTACATTCCATCTTGTAACATTTAAACCTTCTTTCTTAGTCTTTCCTTTTTTGCAAGTCATTCTCTTTTGGTATATTTTACTCAACATCCACGAATTTTGTTCATTTATCTTATTTTAGGCTGAGAAACAGTTCCTTTGGAACCACTATCTTCTCGAAGACTGGTCCCAAATTCTCAAGGGTGTTGCCAAAGCTAGTGAAATTTCCTTTAGCCTCCAGAATTACCTCACGCCCGTCATCCTCGGTTTCGTTGAAATCGTCAAGGCCTCTAATTCCCTGACAACCACAGGAGCTGTAGCAAGCTACGCTCTCATTTCTCGTCGTTCTATCAAGCGTGCTGGCACCCGGTTTTTTGCTCGAGGTGTAGACCACAATGGCAACTCGGCTAACTTTGTTGAAACGGAGCAGATTGTGTATATTCCCCCAGGGCATATCTTCTCTTTTGTCCAAATTCGAGGCAGCGTTCCGCTGTACTGGAATCAAACACCTTCGCTGAAGTACAAACCTGCTGTTAGGTTGGGTACACCCAGCGCCATCGCTAATGGTGTCAATCCGGAGTATGAACCACAGAGCCTGATTGATGTTCAACCGGAACAGAGGACTATTATACAGAAGCACTTTAATGATGTGTGTTACTTGAATCGTTATGGGAAGGTGGTGGCTGTCAATCTGCTTGATCAAAAGGGAATGGAAAAACCTCTATGTCGCATGTATACCTTGGCATCTCAGGCCGTTAATCCATTGGAATTGTCGTAAGTAACTTTATTATTCATTTTTTAGTTTGCTTAAACTTTCAAGTCCACTTTGGAAAACATTTAACATTCATCTTTAATAAAGGAAGGACATCCTACAGTCTTCCTTTAGGCAAACTCGAATCCTACCATTCTTTTTTAAAAAAACCAAACAGTGCAGCTGATCATACCACTCACTTAATGTACATTGATGGGCATCGGCCCCATGACCCTCGGTTTTCCAGACGAGCTTGCTAACCGCTGTGGTGCCCCTGCAATATATCCTATTATTGACCCTTAGGCTACACAACCTGAATATGAACTTAACATATATTTAAGAGTATTTCCGTAGCATACTTGAAATATTAATACGTTCTAGCCATCCTTATGTAAACTGTGTTTATTGCAGTCTATCATTTAATAATTTTTAATTTCTTAACCTCAAACAAAATTAATCAATTGTCTTGTATACTGTTAATACAAATGCTTATACTATATCATTGATGGAGTTTAATGTCTTCCTTTTTCTAAATTCATGTTCTTCCTTTGATAAGAAATTTTCAATAATGTGACTGCTGGTTTCATAATAAACTGTATTGTATATAACGTATATGTGTCTGAACGTTGCTTTCTTGTATCTCATGACCTGGTTTCTGTCGTAGTAAATTAAGTGTGGGAAAATAACGCGATTTAATGAGGAGTGACTAGTTTGTACTCAAGTCACTGTATTTATGTGCACCTATTAACTGATCAGATAATGAAATTCTAGCTATCGCATTTCCTTGCCTAGTGAGTAAACGTATTCTTTTCTGATTTTAAATTCCACAATGTCTTGGGCTGCTATTCAGGGAGCTTTTCCCAGTCCCAGATTTTCGGCTTGCAACTTAATATTATGCACAACCCAATTATAAGTGGAGATTTGAGCGGCCTCGAATAAGTATGGATTAATAAAAGATGCCACTATAGGGCATTTTGAGTTTGTATAAATGTGTTCCACATCTCGGTTGTGTATTGTTTGCTTCTTTTCAAACACATAATCACTACAAGCTTGCATTGTCCTTCATCCTTTAATTTGGTTGCATATTTCCTCTAGGTACCAGGCCTTTGATTTTCACAAGGAGTGTCGAGCACTGAGATGGGATCGACTTCAGATCCTTATTGATCGATTAGAACCAGAATTGACTGCTATGGGGTAAGCTCATCACCTTCATAAAAAACATCTCTATATTTTTACAAATTTGTATGTATTCGCTTACTTCCTATTCTTATTACCCTGTTTTCTCTCCTTGATAGGAATCATCATGTTTTGTAAAACACAGTATTGGCGGTTTATAGTCTCTTTGTTATCATGGCGATAGCAAATAAAAATGTGTCATCTCTAGGTGAATATCTGTGCAGATAGAATTAATGCCATAGTAATTTATAACTGTCACGTGAAAATTAGGGTATTCCCATCCCTCTTAGGCACTATTTCTAGTTTCTCTCCGTCAATTTCGAATTAATATGTACTAAGCAGTGTTATTTATTTGGCGACCAGTTGTTCTAGTACTATTAAAGGTCAGTTTATGGCTCGTCTATCAGGCTATTGTTTGCTATGTTATTTTGAGCTTTCGTTATCAAAGTTAATCCATTTATTTATGAGAACGATTACGGACTAAATGTAATTATTTGAATATTCGGGCCGATCAGTGTAGTTTGGAAGTCGATATCTATTGTATTATTCCGCAATTTGTCAAAATTTGAATCTAACAAATTAACCACTATTAGCTTTCATTAAGTGACTGACCTCTTGCTAGTCACACGTACCTTCTCATGCAAATGAACCTTCTACAACATGAACTGACATTCTTTGTTTTCCTTAGATGTCTCATTTTCTTAATTACATCATGTTAGATTTTCATCGTTTATAAAGACGGAAGTTCGTCTTTCTCTCCTACCTGTTTATTTTCAGATATGTCATTTCTTGCTATTATTTCAATATTTTCGTGTAGGGCTTATCGCCTTTTCTGAGACATACTATTCGTTCCTTTTCTGTCACTACGTATTTCCTTCAAAATAACATTGGTACTGTGCTATTTATTTACTTCCTTTTTCTACTGTAGTCAGTTGCACTTGGGAGCACCAACCAACCGCGAGAGTCTCCAAGACGCTTCTGTACTATCTCAACAGAATGGTGTCTTCCGTACCAATTGCATTGACTGCTTGGATCGAACCAATGTTCTTCAGTCAATGTTAGCACGTCGGGCTCTAGTTGCCGCCCTTCGTGAGGTTTCTGGTGATAATTCGCCGGATCCAGAACTATGGCCCGGTTTCAGAACTGTCTTTAAAAATCTATGGGCAGATCATGCTGATGCCATTTCAATTCAGTACTCAGGAACACCGGCTCTTAAGACGGACTTCACTCGAACGGGCAAGTGTTATACGTTCGATTTCTTCCAAGTTTTTTATTTTTACATCTTTTCATAATGCGACCTGACCTTTATACATCATTTCTCTCTTGCTATTATCAGTAACCTCCCAAGTTTGAGGGTGTGGAAGAGGGATTTGTTATTTATTTTTCGTGCACAATTTTATATCGCACTTAAATGCCTTAAAGATAGACTGTCTAATCGTAAGCACTGCTTCTGTTCGTGATAAACAATTTGATTTCAATAAATGATTTCAGGTTGATTAGGGTGTTCTTTCATGGGTCAAATCATGTTTATACAGGATGTGATTAGCTTAATTTGTGGAAAGATAATGACAGATAATACATTATACTTAAAACTATTAGTCTCCATGGTTTATTTGCTATTCTTACTCACTTAAGCATTAGGCATTGAGGGGATGCATGGAATTTTATTTTGGTAGAAAATAAATGATTTAACGAAGCCATGACGTTAGTAGTGTCATTGACTGTGTGCTTTTTTATTGGTTTGTCGGGTGTACCAAGGTTTTATTAATTTTCTGCCATAAACTAGTCAATTGTTTTTTTTTAGCAGGTTACATATATATATAGTATGATAGTTTTAACTTTCACTTTGCAGGCAAGCGTACAATTAAGGGCGCATTAATGGACGGCTATAACTCCGCTGTTCGCTACTACCTCAATAACTTTGTTGATGGATTTCGACAAGACGCCTTCAATCTCTTCCTCGGGCATTACAGGGTTTTCAGTGAGACGGACGGACGTGCTAAACTCCCCCTACCAATTGCCAAACCAAAAAGTGATGCACAGGCCATTAGAAAGAGTTTCCTCCCAATGTTCTTTGCCTTCTCAACTGCAATGTCTGTTCTTTGTCTTTTCTTCCCTTCTGGTATGTTTTGATATTTCAGCTCATTTTCGTACCCCGTTGCCGCCTCCATAACTTTCTAACTCTTAATTTTAGTTGATGCGTTTGACCGTTTTTTGTATTTCGGTCTTTGGGGTCTGGCCTCTTTCTTTTCTGCTGCCACCATTAGGACTTATGGAGAAGAATTTGTGAACAAGCCCATGTTCCCCATTGAGTAATAGAATCCCTGTTTTCCGCCTATTTTGCTGTGATTTAATGTCTTCTTCCTTCTGAGTAACTGTCATTTTCTCAATATTATTAATTTGTGAAATGTATTTGTGATGACTTTGCTTTGTATTCTTGGTAATTGTCTTAAACTTTCAAGAAATGCCATCTGGATGAAAGGGTATATAAAGCCGATTATGCTAACTTCAATTAGTAGGCATAGTATAAGTTTAAATTAGTTGCTCTTGTGATCTCCATTAGCATGCCTATTTGTATGCAACGTTCCTAGTACAGCTGTGAGAGTCTGCTTAATACTGTGCCGCCACTACATTTAACAGACGATTTTTAAGGCAGAATATTTGAAAGATGCAACATTTTTTGTGCTATATACAAGCGAGAAAGACCAACGAATTTTCCTTTGCACAGGGCAACTATTAGCAACCTCAAATATGTTGTCACGATTACACGAACTCCAGACTGAATTGTAACGAAATATTATGCTAGTATAAAAAGATCATTGACCTAGAATTTCACATCATTCATAACCTATGAAGTACATGGAGCTAATATGAAATTCAATGCAAATTCGTTGTTAATTATGAGACAGACATCAATATTACCTATATTTGTGAGCGGAACATGTTTTAAAAATGTAAAAAGATCTTTATTAGAATTACAACGAATCCAATTTCTGATAAAACTCAATTAATCAAAGATCATATTAATTTTGTTTTTAGTCACCGACTTAAATATTTCTACATAGGTCAAATGCGATGAAACCGAGTGCATTAAAAATGATTTCTTAAGTACCAACTGGAAATTGAACAAATCGATACGTGTCCAATTGTTCCTGCCTTTGAATCAAGCTTTAGGGTTTTAGTAATTAGTAGAATAAAAATATTTCTATTTTTGTTTTGAGAAGAAACAGGTAAAGACTTTTACCGATTCGAAAATAATTTTGGTGCTGTGGATTGGTTTGAAAAATGAAAGTAAGCTATGTGTGAAAAAACGTTTATTTATTTCAAATGACAGGCTTTATGATGGGCTTTACGGCTTCGGGCTTCGCAGAGGGGAGGAGCATCTAAGTCCCAAAAGTCGAAAGGAGGGACAGAAGAGCGATTCACAAATGTAAAGAAGACAGGCACAAAGGCAGGGATAAAGTTAAGGTGAGGTGAGTACTGTGAAAGTAGTCGAATATGACATAGTTGGGTCACGTAGTTTGAAGTCAGAAGTCAACTGTTGGGTCACGTAGTTTGAAGTCAATTGCCTGTTTATAAACTTCTTGTTGTTTGAGTTTACTTTGCCCAGGGTACACCACTTGGACAGTATTTCGTTTCTTAACTGGAAACAGATCGTCACAGAGTTAGAATTAATCTAAGATTTAAGGAAAATTGTAACATAAATAAAGGATTATTCGAAAAAATAGAATATGATGATAAGGCAAGAGTTTATGAAGAATACCTATTTCATATCCGATTGCATAATCGCCAATTTTGAAGTGCGATGGAAGAGAGAAAACATGCGTTCGCCATTACAAAATGTGAATAAAACAGCTTTTAACTCGATTTTAATGTCGTTTAAAATAATAAGATTATTACCGCTGATAAAATATGGCATATATAAATAACTACATAAACATGAAACTAACCACGTTCAAATAGAAAAGTTAATGTAATATTGCTGTAAAATAAATAACTAATCTGATATAATTAGAAGAAGGAAACAAATATATTATTTATTTAAAGATTTTAACAGTATAAGGAGTTTGCTTCATTTCACTGACTAATATAATTCACAAGGTATTTATAAAATTAATATTACTAAAACATCTTGAATGATAATACTCAAATAGGTAAACCTTATTTAACATGAAGTTAGATTAATAATATTGAACAAGTCTACAGAACAATAGATACTTTTGTCTATTTAAAGCTATTTTTATTCTTAATGTAGTTAAAATATCTTAAAACCAAATAGTTTTAAGGAGTATCAAAATTTGAATTGTGTTTATGTCAATCAATTTTGTGGCTATTCTGAATTATTTCTGAGCATGGGGGCTTATCTGTCAAAACCTGCCACAGAAAAGGAAACTTCGTCAGATTCTAATGAATGGATTTCCTATGGATGTTCCTCTATGCAGGGATGGCGACGATTCCAAGAGGTTTGCTTTTAATACTGAATCGTTTCGCTTGTGATCTAGCATTTCGCTGACATCAATTACCAAAATTAATATAACTAGCAATTTAATTTTAGTCAAATTTAAAACGAACATTAGCTGACGTCTTTTCTCCTAGGATGCCCATAGCTGCATATTGGATTACGATCCTAAACGGACAGCTTCATTTTTCGCTGTATATGATGGTCACGGAGGTGCCGAAGTTGCGAAATACTGCTCACTGCATTTACCGGAGTTCATTCTCTCCCAACCTGGATACAGTACAGATGACGAACCTATTAACCCAGTCAACCTTCTTAAGAAAGCATTTATTGATTTTGATATCACTCTCACTCAACCAAAGGTAAGCATTTGTGCTTTTTACGTTTCACGGTTTTTATGTTAAGATGCGATTCGTTTTTAATGTATTTGAAATTGTACTTTAATTTTTAGGTTTAGACGTAGTTAATATTTTTCCATAGTGTTTATTTCTTTTTGTTAGTTCTACAGTATTTCTACTTTATTTCGCGTACGTTTATCATCGACCCATTCGTGTGTTCTTTATGTTACCTTGGTTTTGATTTTGTAATATTTTAATTTTTGCTTTCAAGAGCATCTGGCAGTTCAATCTATTTATGTCATTGAGCTCTGGGAACGAAGGTAACTTCAAGACGATGGTTTGGTTTCGGATTATACTAGTTTAAGTTATTTTTAAGTCAACTATATCACAAATGAGTGATTTCTGTTCAGAATCCAATCAGTTCTTCCCTAGGGTTTACGTGGTTTTTTTTCCTTATCACGAATTAAGTTGCTGGGTGAACTTCATCAAGCTGCTATTGAGATGCGTTAACATTTGCAATTTGATGGTGTTATTGTCTAATTTTAAGCCTTTGCAGTGGCAATGTTAATCGGATAAACTCAAACTGAAATAGATTACTTGGCTTCACGTGCAGAATTTAATGGTTTGTGTAGTAACCACAGAAATTCGAACTGATTTTTATGCCGAAAGACTGTTATTTCCTTCATTTATTATTTGTTCCATAGGATGGACGGGGTTAGATTGAAGTCAAATTTTAAAACTTGTGCTTTTCAATATTACCTTAAATTTGGTCAAAAATGTCTAACGTTTTCACTTACCTAACATTTCCATAAACTGGCTCATTTGGAGTCCTTCAAAGCTGATGTAAAAATGTTATTATTTGTAGATAATAGAACGATTTACCTTTTATGACTCTTACATGACTAATCAAAGTTTGTTTATTATCTTCACTTAAACCATAAAATGTTTTTTGTCTATTATGCTTGTATGATGTGCCTTGGTAGTATTTTTTGCGTCGAAATTGATATGCCCGTCTGATGTCTGCATCGTCAGTCTTAGCTCGTAATTAACCTATTTTCATTTACTTTTCAAGTAATTAATAGCGTATGTGGTGACATATATTTTAGGATGGAAGTTTCTTTTCCCTTAGAAAGTCCCACTTAAAATCACCCTATGTCAAATGACTATCCACTATCTTATTTTTTCCACTCAAAGCAAAATCAAATAGGAAGTCACCGCTTTTAAATTCTTGTTAAGAATATTAACTATATATAGGAAATGTAGCTTCACATGTTATTTGGCTAACCTTACGATGAAAAAAGTTTTATAGAAATTCTCGCACGTTATCGACATCTTCAATTGAAAGGCATGTTCTAGTTTATAATGATATACATCTTACGTCTCTTTTATTGAGGTTATATACTTGTATAATTATTTCCTATTAATGCGTTGGGTAAGAGTGTTACAGATGTTTTCTCTTGTCAACATTCATTATTTAAAGGAACGGGTGGTTGTCGTTATGACTGTCAATTAATTAGGATTGATTCATGTGAGTGCGTTGTGTTAGTGTTTGGTGTGTGCTTGAATTGGTTTCAACAATGCATATTTACAACTAGAGGTCATGAGTTCGATACTCATAAATACACGGACAATCACGCTTATCGATTTCTGCTCAAGGGTGGCAGAATATGTGTTTATCGTAATTGCCATTCCGAAGCGCCTTCGATCTGGTCAAGCTTGGAAGCTAATAATTACTGTGGTATACGTGTGAGTATTCAATAATGAGCGACATTAGCAGTCAATACTACGTTAAAATAGGGGACTAATCGGCCTAAATATTTTATGTATTTTCCTTGCAGGCAAAATCAGAACTCAAATCAATAGCAGGTCCTGGGAGTGAAGAAGACGACGACGATGAGGACGTTTCAGAGGACGAGGAAGGGCGATTAAGATCCAATGGGGACGCATCAGGAGACGAAGATGAAGAACTTATGGCTCTCACTGATGAAAATATTGAGGAAATTACTGAGTTAACTGATGAAGCCACTCGTCCTATTGAAGCTGTAATACGGAAGCAATTCAAGGGCGAAATTCCTATCTTCATTCAGGTTAGCCCTTATTATTTGAGTATCTTGCGTTTTTGTAAGTGGTTGAGAAAGGTCTATCTACTTTCTGTCACTCTTTAGTGAAAGTATCACTTGATAGTCTTTATCTGTCCCCATATTTTGATACCGACTAATTATTCATTTTTTATAGATCAAATGTATGATTTAAATGTTTTAAGCATTGGCGAAGATCTTCACCCGTTGTCTTATGGAGATGTTTTTAAAGACTTTTCTTTCATTCTTACCATCTGACTTTTATGCTTTCTAATTGATAATCTTTAGGGAAGTAGTTTATGCTTGAAGATAATGCTAGAAAGGAATTTAGCAAGGATTGCCAATTTAATTGCTTCAATTGCGTGAATTCCATTCTATGCTCTTCAGAATCTGCTATCTACGTTCAATATACCTGTTGATGCTGGTCCATCTGGATCTTCTTCTACATCAGCTTCAGTCACCGAAATCCCTGTTACTGGTGTTTCTTCCTCTCTAGGTTTGTTTTGCCCGCATTATTTTGGCCTAATGTTAATAGTTTATCCTGTTATGCTAATGCGAGTGGACAAGGGCCCGAAAAGTAAATCCAGTTTCCTGGAGGGTTCGTTAGGCGAAATTATGTTTTATCTTCGAACGATGCTATTTGGAGTTCGTCTATCGTAAAGTTTTAACAAGTATTTGAACTTTTATTTGTAAATTCTCCACAATCTAATATGGAAGACATGAAGGTATGAGGGGGGTACCGAGTGGGGCGTATACTCTGAATCGTCTGACTAGTGTATTAGTTGTACTTGAATTGAGAAAAATAAAAATCCTACGTAAGATTGCAATTTTGTTATTCACGCATCACATGATATCTTATAAATTGTAATGTTAATGGATTTAGCATAAGATGGTTACTACAATTTAGTGGAAAAGTGATGTGCCACCATATAGTTCTGGTATTCATTAAAAGTTGTACTATTGCTAAGTCATCTAATTAGGGAAGTAAACACTACAAAACAATTCAATTGGAAAAAACTAACATTTTGGCTAGCATCTGAATATAATTGAAATTCGAATTCTCCAATTATCTTGGGAGAATTTTTAAATTCCCTTTTTTCCTTGATAATGCAGAAGAAAAAGAAGCCAAATCATCTGAACGAGCATCTGGAGACGTGCAACAATCAGTTGAAATCGACGGCGACGCCGATTCCTCAAATTTAATTGAAGCTGAAGGCAAGAGCGCGGAAAAAGGCATTGTTAGGTGTGAAAGTGGTGATACTGGTGATGAAACGAATGGTGATGAGAAATGCACTGAAGGGACGGCTAAAGGAGAACATGGATCTGAAGAAGAGGAAGAAGAGGAATCAGACGATGAGGTCAGTTCATCACCACACTACACCTTTACTTTCCTTCCCGTTGACCTCTCCACATTATCCCCCGGGTGTGCTGCGGTTGATTTTGACAAGGAAATGGAAGAGAATGAGAAATTGGTTGATCATTGTGGTTTTGTGGTGGATATGGATAAGACCTTTTATCAGGTATCCATTTAAGTAGCTCCGCTCAGTAGTAAGCTCTATTAGGCTCTAACGCTAAGTTCAGCTTGCTTATCATTTAGTTATTTGGTCAATTATTGGTCTGAACTATTTTAGTTATTCAGTCATGTCCTTAAATTGATTGTGGGTGTAGTGGTAAGCATGAACGTTGAGAGTTCGATGATGATTAGCTTGCATTTGGAAGGAAAATGACCAATCGTGTTTGTTGCTTCTGACTAATATAGGTGGGATGTCAGTATTCGATTTTTTTCACCCGAGATAAACGGTGAAAAACACCCTCATAAATGAGCTAAGGAATTAGTATGGTAATTATTGCTCACACTTAAATTTATAAATTATGGACTTTTTGTTTATAGTTCTGTAGTTACCTTTTTTGTGGGAATATCAACTTATTAAAGTTTCTGTTTTTATTAAACGTGCTGCATGTTTTTTACTGCTACGTCTGTAACTTCTGAATAACCTTTCATATCTCATTTGCCTTTTTTATATAATTGGGTCCTGCCTCATAGTGCTTTTATTTACTGTTGCGTCGTCTCAATATATGACAATTGTCAATCGATAGTACGTGTGAAATATAACCTCTCACTTCCTCTAATTAGTATTGCTTCCTTTTATGGCGAACTGCCGAATTTTTTCTGGTGCTATGATAACAGTAAGTACTTGGAACCGAAAAGCTGCAGATATCATGTTCTGGAAGAAATCAAGAGAGGAGCATGGATATATCTATTCAGTATCTACTCTGAGTTCTGAGTATTCTCTTAGTTTGTGTGGATGGATCATCTTAAATATTACTCTCTAGTAGCCATTCATCTACCTTACAAGTGATTGGCGATAGTGAATCGCTCTTTAATGATATCGTTCTTGTAAGTCGACCTAGCCACTGTGAGAATTTTAACCCAATCACTAAATGCAATAATATTGCTAATTAAGTTGAAATTTACCTCAATACCAATTTCCGAGCATTTGCAATGAATCTGGCTTTTCATGGTACTCTTCTCCATATATTTTGATATAAAGGTTGGTATTTTCTCAACTATGCTGATTTGTAGTATGCATTTTATAATTTCTGTGTGAATTTCAGTTTGCTCAATAACCAACTTCATAATGGTTTGTTTCTATTCAACTTTTAGTTGGTATTAATTGAGGTATTGACAGTGCTGATTTAACTGAAAGGCAACTATACTTTTTTACAAACAGGGATCAAATAGGTGAATCTGCACTTAGCATTGGATTGTGCTCAAATTATACGTTAGTTTAAAGTAAGCCTCCTTATGTTTGATTGACAACAAGCTCCGATTTTTCGTTCACGGTCATTTAATTTCACTTTTTATCTACCATTCTAAATCGCTTTCATTATATTTTACCTTCAGGATTACGATGCTGAAAAAGACGACGAGGAGTTCTACGATGACGAAGACGACGACGACGATGATGATGATGACGATGAGGGAGACCAAGATTATGTTGATGATGACGATGACGATGAATCTAGCCCAGTTGCAGTTCTCCCCCGACCGGTGGGTTTCAGTGAGCCCGGTGTTGACTCTGGCTCCACCGCCTGTGTAGCCTTCATCTTGCCCGAAGTCTCGGATGACAAGGAACCTGTTCGACGAGTCTTTCTCTACGTTGCCAATGCAGGTGACTCCAGGGCGGTGTTGTGTCGATCTGGAACGGCGGTGGAACTCTCTGAGGATCATAAGCCAGAGGATCCGCCAGAAAGAGCAAGGATTAATGCTGCTGGAGGAACTGTGACGGCTGATGGACGAGTTAATGATGGTCTCAATCTCAGCCGAGCTATTGGTGACCATGTCTATAAGGTTAGTGTATTGAGGCTGTTTACGTAATTAATAAACAATTTAAAAAAGTTTATAGTTGTCAAAAGAAATAGAATTAAGTAATAAGTAAGCCTGTTCGTCATGGAAATGAAAGCTGTTTGGTGCGTGATTGTATTGGATGTCGGTTTGATTAAAATTCGTTAACACAGTTTGTGTTAGGGAAAATTTTAAGTACGGGAGGTGGCTAATCCATCCCCTCAAGTTTTTAATGACGTTAGATGTCAAGCTAGATGTTTGAATTCACTTGTTTTCAGCGTTAAACATTTAAACGATCGACCTTGATTCTATCAGAGTTTGTCATAGCCTGTTGACTATTTTGGTTAATAACGGCCCATCGATTGCCTTGAATATTAGTCCCGTTTTAAATAGGGTTCGAGCTTTCTAAGTTAAGGTTGAGTGGTTCATTCATGCTCTCATTTCTTAGCTAAATTTTTGGGGTGTAGTATTTAAGCACTCTCTTACTGATGTCTTTCGTCATCCTGCTAGTTCCAGAATTGTTTTGCTTGACGTCACGGCTCATTTAGATCAAGTCATCCAATTAATACTTAACTTTCATTTTAAATGAAAACGCCTTATCTCGTTATATTAGCACACATTACTTTTAATTAGTCAGGTATTTTATCCAAGATTGATAGATTCCACGGTAAGCTTCCTCGTTGTGCTCCTACTTGTGTTCATTGATTTGCCTGTCGTTTTCCTACTGTTAAAGAATAGGGTTGTTCATCGTCACCAAAAGTCATTTGAAATCTCTTTTCGTAGTCCCTTTTTTGGAAATCTTTGTCCCTTTTTATACTTGTTTAAATGAGTCGATTCGAATGTCTAAACTTGGTAAGGGGATGTATAACAGTATAAGCCCCATTTGCTGAGTTAAAATGTGGTTATGCTTTTACTCCATATCGATTTTTGCAACCCTCATATCCAAAAAACTAACGTATTATGTGCTTTACCTTTTCAGCAACGAAGCGACCTCCGAATGTGGGACCAAATGATCTCTGCCCTTCCCGATGTGACTCGAACAGAGCTGGTGCCGGGTGCTGATGAATTTTTAGTGATTGCCTGCGATGGCATTTGGAACGCCATGACCAGTCAAGCTGTAGTCGACTTTATCCGTGAACGTCTTCATACTGACACCTCTGCCGCCCAGAAAGTGACTGAAAGTGAGAAGGAAGAGAGTAAAGAAGAGGACGAGAAGACCAGTGAAAAAGAAGAGAAGGTAGAGGTTGATCGAACTTCTCCTCAATTTCTTGCCAAAATCTGCGAAGAGGTGAGTTGCTCAAACCCTCTTTCTAAGTTTTCTGTTTGATATTTGGTCTTGTCTGTTTTGCCTTTTGAGCTTCTTTAAACTCATTCAGTAATCTTCCTGCGAATCTGATAAATTTCCTATCCATTCTTAATTACACTTTATTCTTGTGCTTTGGCCTTGTTCCGTAAGATACTTGTCTACTCTTTTTATCTTATTAAGACCCGTCTGTAATTATAGGACATATGTTCTATTTAGTGAAAAGTTGACTGGTCTCCATCAAGTCAATGCAGTTGACTATTTTTATTAAGGACAAGTCAGATAGCTTGAGGGGTTGAAAGGGTGTTGAGAGCATAGTTAAGTTAGCACAGTCATTTGATTTTTGGTTTCGGGTTGAATAATATTAACTTAATAGTTCATGCTTCATCATCTAGTGCTTATTGACTGGTTTAGGTTTGCTGGTTAGTCTTGCCACTTCAAGTTATTTTTCCTTCTAATGTTTAGAGGGCAGACTGATCTTACTTGTGATGTAGAGATGAAGTAATGGTTTTTACAATTTATTTGAGCAGTTTGATTTAAAATGGTGTCAGATCTCTGTTTTTTACCTAACTTGGAATGAGTCCAGGTTTCTGATGACATTCCTTTGTAGTGTAACATTTATACTTCTTTCTTCCAAATGTGCACCCCATTTCCAAATTTGACATTATCTCATTTGCATAACTTTGATGTCCTAATGAATCAGTCGTTTGTGATTTACCTTAAGGCATCTTTAAATCAGCTCTACGTTTGGTATTACACTGGCACTAACATGACAAACATATTCGTAAGAAATAACCAATAAATTTATCTCTGGTCATTCCTTAGAGGTTCACTTCCTTTGGAAAAGGTACCATGGTGCTTCTTTAGATCATTGAGCGTTGTGTGACATTCCATGATTTTAAGTGTTCAACTTTTATCCATTCTGCTCGCTTCAGTTCATAAGAAATATGCCAAACTTAGGCTTTGACAGTTTCAACCCTAACCCGATGGTAGTTGGCAGCTTATCAGACTTGTCCTACTTTACCTTAGTCGTAATCTGAAATGGTGCGCTTAGTTTCTTACCAAATCCTTTGTTCTCAAACCCCATTTTCAAAATGCCCTTTATTCTTATTTGACCGTTTTTTAACCGTATTACCAATTTTAGGTATTGAATTCTTTCCTTATATCCAAATAATAATTCGAGTCTTGTCTTTTCCTTTCAGCTTTTTGACTCTTGTTTAGCCACCAACACGTTGGGCGATGGAACTGGTTGTGACAACATGACTTGCCTAATCCTTCGTTTTAACGACCTGGAGGGACTTGCTGCAAAAGCAGTGACTCGTACCGTTACCCAGCCTCCTGATGACCTCTCATTCCTAATTGATTCATCTGCGAAAGAAGATTTGGATGAAAGTACAGAGGCTGCTATCGCAGCGAGCTCTATCCAGGAGGAAGAGTGCGAACCATCTGGTGATCAAGTTGACCCCATCCCTGTGACTGCAGTCTTCAACACCGCTAACGGAAACGGTGAAGCTGACGAACGTCAATCTCCTCCTTCTCCTTCCCTTTCTCCAGTACTCAAAAAGGCGAGATTGGACACCTCACCCCAGAATGGATCGTCCGATGCTGTTGGAGTTGAACAAGTGGAGTAAAACCGTCTCTGTTGTGCTCTAACGTCACACCCTCCATTCTCCTCTTTCCCTTGTGTACATGCCGTCTCTATCACTCTTGGTGTCTGTTTGTTTCGCAATGCTCGTGGTAAAATAAACGTTTGAGTCTCAGTGCTCTCGCCTCAATTTTGTGTACTCCTTCCACTCCCGTCTTCCCTCACGGCCCAACTCGCCTCTTTATTCCTCATTATAATTCCGATTATGATGATGCGCATTATCACTTTGGTTAAGTTCGAATGAATTAGCTCAACTATATAACAAAAGTACAAGTGAAATAGAAGTATGAATCGGATGATGAGTTTGCTAATGAAATTTGGTAGGCTTAACTACCCGACTAGGTTGGGCTTGGAGGCATACCTCGCTGAAAGATAGTAATCCAAGTAATTGCTATCGAGGTGCCACAACCTTCCGCAATTCAGAACGATATAGAAGACACGACTTGAAATTGGATGGGCGTGGGATCGGTGGCAGGTGGAAATCGGCTAAATTGAGTTGTCTGTTTTCTTTTCCTTTGTTCGCATGATGAGTTACCAATAATGCTGTTGTCTGTCAAATAGGACAGGGTAGGAATAAGCCAACATTGAATTCTGCAAGTTAGTTCATGGTGGGTCGCTTGAGTATGAATGACTCTAGAATTGGAAATTATGAAAGACATTCGACTAGAGGTATTTCTGTTGTTAGTAGGGTGAAACTAATGGATCTCGAAAGATTGCAATTATATGAGGAGTTGTGCCATTCACCTGTCAATGGTTGGGTTATCGATGTGGAGCATTTACGGAGTTCAAGTCGATATTCTCATGCAATTAATCAAAACGTAGTCTTGCATCTGTAGCTTAAGAAATTGGAATAACATTTAGGTCATTAAACAAGGTAAATTGTCTTTGTCCAAAATTTTTTTACCGAACAAAATTCGTCCTAGTCGTGTCTTTTAGTTCATACTTGGTTGTTATTGCATTGGAAAAGGCCTTTGAAATGCAAAAGAGCCTCTATATTTTCCTAATATAGCATGCTCAGTGGTGAACATCCTTGACCAATTGGTGAGGACGGCCAGACAAATTCGTGAGACGTCATGCTGAACCACACCATCTAAAAACGACTCTGGGTGAGCACTTATGGCCACTACTTTAGTATAGGTGTGATGGCTTCAAGGGCGAACCGTTCCAAAATCAAGCAAACCAGTTACAAACACTTCTCTAGTTGTTTCGATATGGAAATATGCCTTGTTGTCTCGGGAAAAAAATTATCAGTAATGCAGTTGGTTGAAATCACCTTCCATTTTCAAATGGAACTTTTCAGATTAAGCTTAGATCAAGACGCACGTTATCTTCAACTACTAATCGGGAGGAGGGTGTGATCAAGAGGTAGAAACTTAAGAAAGCCATTTCTTCATAGTAATACCTGGAGTAAGCAAACAAGGCTATATGCATATTCACCAAACACAACTGCGAATTTAAGTGGACAAATATATGTGAATGGGGGTGTGCGATAGACTTACCTCCACGTGGTGCACCCTGGGCAACGTATACTCATACGGCAAAAAAGTCTATTAACCGGCAGTTGACTTCTCACTTCAAACTCTCATGGCCTACCGCAAGTCATATTCGATCCCTTCCACAGTACTCACCTTTACTTTTTCTCTACCTTTGTGTCTGTCTCTTTTACATCTGTGAATCGCTCTTCTGTTCCCCACCCCTCGACTTTCTGCTACTTTGATGAACCTTCCCTCTGTGAAGCCCGAAGTCAGCTAAATGGCTAATGATAGTTATCAAAACGCCTGCCATTTGAAATAAATGTATGTGAATGGGGTGTACGATAGACTTACCTTCACGTGGTGCACCCTGGGCAACGTACATTCATACGGCAAAAAAGTCTATTATTCGGCAATTGACCTCTGACTTCAAACTACCATCACCTCACTCTATGCCATATTCGACTATTTCCACAGTACTCACCTCACCTTTGTTCTACCTTTGTGTCTGTCTCTTACATCTTTAAAAC